AACGTCGGGCTGTCGGAGCTGGCCAGGCTACCATTGTTGGTGGAACCCAGGCGGACCGATGGATTGGCTAGACCAATGCGCTGATTTATATGGACGGATGGATCTCACAAGGAGTCTAACCCCCACTTGACGGGTGGGTTGTGGTGTTTAGCAACCAAGTGGAGAGCGACTACGTATTCCAAGGATATCTGGCGGCACGGACGATGGAGAGTTCACGGACCATTGGAGAGAACAGTCATATGGATAGTACTACGTCGGAAATCATGGCGTTGATATGGGCGATACTCTATATCATCATGCTGAATGACAAGATGGAGACCGATTGGACGGTCACATCTGATTCGAAGATAGCCCTTGGCATAGTACATGGGAAGCATGGCTACCAGCCGAACTGGGAGCTTGCGGTTTTCTTGGATGCGTTATCACGGGACGTATGTTATAGAGGAAACGTCTCGTTGCAGTATACGAAATCACACGACTTGGACCCACGGTATCACTTGGCGGACAATATTGCTCGGTCGAACTTAGTAGTCCACCGTGGGGTCCCACACTTGCAGGTAGCAGAGCACGTCGAGTACGACCATGGCCTCCGATGGCAGTGGTTGAGATATGATCAACGTTATGCACATTGTTAGCCCAACGTTTGTGAGGATGGTCTTTATTTTCAGGAGCCAGCTGGATATTCCGATAACAAAATGTTCACCGATACAAACGAGATGAGGAGCAAACTTTACCCGAATGGCACATCTGGAACGGAACAAGCTAACACATCGGAAAGGTGCTGCGAAGTCTAAGAAATTGAACAAGACGCAGCGTGAGAATAAGAAGAAAAGGTTACGCAAGCTGCGTCTCCAGTTCCACAGCGAGAACATGTTATTGGTTGGGGTACAGGAGGCTCGAGGGCGAGAAGGTCAGCAGTGGGCGGATGGAGACGTAACTCTTCGAGCGGTTGCGGGTGCTGGTGGGCAAGGGCGTGCACTTCTAGTCTCTACAACGATACCGTATGCGACGTGTCAGAGGCAGGGCTACTTCCTGCAGCAGCAACATTTGCGAGTTATACACAAGACCCCGACATGCTTGGTCGTGCAGATAGAGGCGCCTCATCTCCAGATAAAAAGTTGCGGTGATGCATGCTCCACCTCGGGGGCGACCTGTAGAAGAGAGAAGACAGTGGTGGAAGGAGCAGACGGAGGTATTCCAGGCACATCAGTCGGATATTTTGCTTATGGACGCGAATGCACGGATAGACACGAGTGTTATGGAGATGCCGTTCATTGGGGACAGTCTACTTACCAGCCAGGTTGACGAGAATGGGAAGATGCTCGCTGAGTTTGCGACGTTCCATAACATACGCATGTGCAATGCGCTAGTTGGCGGCGCAGACTGTTGGACATATACGGGCGGGACGGTTCTACATAGAACGGGTTACATTGGTATGTCGGCTTCGTGGTTCCAAGCAACGGTTGGATTCCGTGTTTTTCAAATTTGGGCAATGGGCTATGTAAAGAAGACGACCGACTGGTGGTTGCGCGCATGTGTTGCCAACATATTGCAGCGCCGAGGTTGGAATGTGGTCAGGTGTATTTGTCATGCGACAAATTGAAGCAGGATGGGTGATGTATGCGGTTTAGAGAAATTCTTGGTAATGCTGAACCTGGGCCATGGGAGCAGGAAGTCAACTCTCAGTATTCGGATGTGATGAGGCAGGTGAAGGATGCAGCTCGGCAGTGTTTTGCGAGGGATCTTTTCGCACCTTCACAGTCATATATTACATGGGACACAGTGCGACTCATCAGACCACGGCGCTATGTACTTCAGGGACTACATAATTTTCAGCGAGGAGATGGCAAACCCTGTCATAACATATGTACGTTCCTACCCTTACAATACCAATCCTTTTCGCAGGAAGGTGACCCCTGGCACGAAGAATCGGACAAGCTGGTGCTGGGCGTGCAATTTCTGAATGATAGAATTTGGTCGAACACTGAGCTCAAATGTCAGATATATGCCTTCATGGGGATCACCACCCACATATTGCACCGTCGTCTTGTTTCGGAGAACGATGGTAGATTGAACGACTATGCAGAGCATATCGGGGTGCACACGGTACTTGGTGACCACCCGCAGGCTCGGCAGGCGGCGAGGCGTTTACTTCTCTGCGGAGGTAGGGGGCGCCTTCGTTTTTCCAACGGCAAGTTCTTACCGTATAGGAAGGACGATGAAGGCAAGGTCATCGCGTCGGAGGAAGACATGGGTAATAACAGGATGCAGGTGTACAGCAAGTTGGAGGACGCGAAGGTTGTGTCTGCGCAGGAATACGCGGGGGTATATCAAAAGTTTCCGAGCACGGCACTTGCAGATGTCCCCTTGAATATACAGGTGCTCCCACACCTGGCGGATGCGGAGTATCGATTGTCGCGAGGACCACGAAGGCGGGCAGCGGGTACCGATGGTCTATTGTAGGAAGTTCTACACGCAGCGCCGAAACAGATCTCCAAGTTGGTAAACCCCTTGTTGGTGAAAGTCTGTGCGACTGGGATCGAACCGATCGCATTCAAGCACAGCCGGTTGGGGGAAGTATCCAAAAATTCAGGGGATCCCTCCACGAACAAGGCCTATAGGGCGGTGGAGATATGCAATGTCTTTGCGAAGCATCACTATCGGTTCTTGGGGAAGCAATTGGCGTACGCGCTGGATTTTATGTTAAGGGGTTCTCAGCTTGGTGGACGGCCGAGGCGTTCAACGGTGATGGCTTCTCAGCAGGCTCGGCTTATCTCCCAGCTGGCGGCAAAGAATCATGTGTCTGCGGCGTGTGCATTTTTGGATCTCAAGGCGGCATTTCATCGTACTATTCGCCAGATGGCAAGCCGCATGCAATATTTGGAGGATGAGCCAGAGTCGATCCTTAACGAGTGTGATCTTCCACTTTGCTTGGTACCGCTGGCGAGCCATATATTATCACAGCCTGCGCTATTGGATGGCCAGCGGGTTGACCGACATCTAGCCACATTGGTGGCAGAGTCACAACGTCTGGTATGGTTCGAAGTAGGTGGGTCAACGCTACTTGGTATGCCAACCCGTGGATCAAGACCTGGGTGTGCGACGGCGGATTATCTCTTCAATCTTGTGTTCACTAAGCCGCTGGACCTGGTGCGTCGAAGTCTGCAAGCGGCGAGTCTCGTCTTGGATCTTGGCATTTACCAGCCTGAGCACGATCTTGTAAGCAAGCCTGGAGATGATGACAACCCCTTGGTGGATATTACGTTCGTTGATGATGTGATGATCCAGTTGTGCAGGAAAGTAGTTGTACGCTCCAGAGTGTGAAGGATGCGATGGGCATCATGCGCGCCTCTTTCGTCGCGCACTTCATGGGGCCTAACTACGGGAGGGGGAAGACTGGTGCACTGTTTCAGCTACGAGGAGTGAATATTGAGGCCCTTCGTGACACCCTGTACGAAGGGGAGGTGCCGATCACGAGTGCCAAATATGGGTTACGTTTCATGTAGAACGTCATTACACACATATGGGGGTGGTGGTGCCATTTGATAACTCGTGGCGTCCAGAAGTTAGTCGGCGTCTTCAAAGTTGTGAGCAAGCAGTTGTTCCTATCAGACGGAGTATCGTACCACGAACAAATATTAAGGATGAATTCAAAGCCAGGTATGTGGAGGCGCTTGCTTTTTTCTCGTTTATTCCAGCAGATTGAGATTTGGCATGAACTTGGCGAGGGGAATGAGGTACGGCTGAGGGCTTCATATATGCGTGGGCTCAGAACGGCTACTGGCCTTTCTCACGATGCGCAAACGGTGGAGCACCAAAAATATGAATATGTTCATTGGCGGGCTCAACGGGCAGATATTACGACAAAAAGGCGAATGAGGCGGCTGCGATATTTTGAGAGGGTGATCGACCATGCACCAGCGACCCTTCGGCGCCTGATTGATCTCCTGGGGATCAATGGTGAATGGCTAGGTGTGCTTGGGGCCGACTTGGAATGTTGCATAAGTGGAAGAATGCCGATGAATTGCCGCCGGATGTGCGACAACCGGTTCGGCTCATACGGCAGTCTCCCAAGATATATTTGGCGACTTGCGCCGCAGCATGGCAACGTTTTCTACAATGGTATCTCGATCAGTGTCAACATGAGGTATGGCTTCATAGAGTCCGAGGCGTAGTTCCACAAGCGCAGGAGACGGTCCAGAAACTACACATTATCTTCTTTGAGTGTGGTGACACTTTTGACACCAAGTGTGCGTGGCAAGGGCATCGCACGAAGGCACATGGTAACTATGCTGATGTCCCGCGGTATGCGTCTGATGGGTATTCTGTTGCGTGCGATGTGAATTTCCATACGAGGAAGCGGCTGATACATCGTTTGAAGCTGCAGCTGCCCGTGAAGGATGTCTGGGGCTTCTAAGATAGAGGCCGGTGTGGTGAGCCTCCCAGGGTGGGTCCCCACCTGGGGGGCCCTGTCGTCGTGGCGATGTCGACGGCCCTCGCTATGATTTTAGGGAGGAGGAGGTTCGAGGATCAGGTGGCCAGGGTCGACGTCGCCATGGCACGGTGCGCGGCCCGCGCGGGCGTGCGCGCCGCGGAGACGCTACGAGGCGGGACCGCCTCTCTTGGTGCGAGCGCAGCAGCAGGAGGAGGAGGGGGAGGAGGAGGAAGAAGAGGAGGAGGAGGAGGAGGAGGAGGAGAGGCGGAGGAGGAGTCAGGAGGGAGGAGGAGGAGGAGATGAGGGGAGGAGGAGGCGGAGGAGGAGGAGGGGGAAGGGGGAGGGGGAGGGGGGAGGGGGGAGGAGGAGGAGGGAGGAGGATGAGTGGTGGAGGAGGGGTGGGGGATGGAGCGGAGGAGGAGGAGGAGGCGGAGGAGGAGGAGGAGGAAGGACGGAGAGGCAAGGAGGGAGGAGAGGAGAGGGGGGGTGGAGGAAGGGGGGGGGAGGAGGGGGGGGAGGAGGGGGAGGATTATGTTGAGGAGGAGATGCCTCGCATACCGGCCAGGGGGCCTACGACGGTGGCCATTGCCGTGGGCGCCTGCAACGCGACGGCATCCAGCCACCCGCACGGCATCATCCACCCGCAGATGACGTTCGACTCGGAGACGGGCCTGGAGCGACGGGGGTTCCTCTCAAGCAGTGGCGAAGCGTCCTGGTTCGCCTGTAGCCCTGCCAAGCAATGTTCTAAGAGCCTTTGGTGGTTTCCACGAAATGCTCTTAGAACATTCTTGGCGGAGATTGGCTTCTTTGAACACATGGGGTCAGGTGACACCACCCACCAACCCACCCCAACCCAACCCGAAGGCTCAGATTTACCCTCGGTTTCCAGTGTGGGGGGGGTCGGGAAACATAGAGAAAACACATGTGGAACTCTTATTCCCTTTAACCCGAAATTCGGGTCTTCAGGTTGGGTGCACCTGTAGGGAAACGAACAATGACACAAACGTAAAAGCTCGGAGGTCCGCGCGGATTTCTCGGATCGGCGCTGTGGCCCCCTGGCGGCGCCTCCGGCGCCGCCCCTGGCGCCGCCCCTGGCGCGCGCCGCGCGCCAGAGAGGCTGCGCAGATTCAAGAAATCCGCGCGGACCTCAGAGTTTTTATGTTTATGCCATTTTCCGTTCCCCTAACCTGGGCCTCCCTCGTGTTGTCAGGGAGGGAGGCGCTCAGGAGGGAGAGAAGCACACGGACACAATTCATCGTTGACTCCCAGGAAAAAAACAAAACATGGGAAACTATGGGAAGGGTGGGGGGGAGCCGCAAGCCCAGAACGTCTGGGACACTGTGGGGAATCCTGCTATTCGTGTCTGCTTCTTTGTGTGCCCCAGGGCCCCATCCAGGCACGGAGGGAGGGGCGACGCGCAGGCGTGCCGCTCCTGGCGAGCCTGCGCGCAGAGGCGCGGGCGCGCAGGACACCCGCTTCGAGGGGGAGCTGCTGGACACGGACATCTGGCCCCCGATGTGGATGATCTTCACCAGGCCAGCTCCGCGCTCCCCCCCCCCGGGGCTCCTCTCGACCCCTCCGAGCTCCGATTTTGGCCTCCGGGTCCCTCGCTGGAGACGCGCCAGCCTGCCGATTTTTCCGCCCCTTCGACGTCTCCCGGCTCGGCTGCCGAGTGCCGCCGATCCGGCGCATTTCGATCGCCGATCCGGCTTGTCGAATCGATTCTGGGCGCTCCTGCCCGCCTCCCCCCGATGATCTACGAAGGACACCCGCAGTGGAGCATCGAGGGCTGCGCCGTCTCGCAGTTGGAGCATCTCTTCGCTGTCTCACCCGCAGTTGGAGCATCTCTTCGCTGTCTCGCCCGCAAAGGTCCGCGCCAAGGTCGTCGTACTTCGCGCGTCACACGGCGCTGAGCTAAGAGTCAGAAGACATGCAACGCCTGATGCTTCGCAAGTAACCGTTTCTCCACTCTTGCTCTTCCTCCCCGTTCCTCCCTCCTTGCTCTCTCCCCCTCCCCCCTCTCCCCCTGCCTCGCCCCCCTTCTCCTCCTGTTTCCCGTAGCTGTAACGACTTTGCCGCATCGTCGCAGCTAGTGCGGCTTTGCCTGAGCCATGGAAGCTACCAGGAGGAGGAAGAGGAGGAAGAGGAGGAGGAGGAGGGGGAGGAGGGAGACTGAGGGAGGAAATGAGGATGTGGATGTGGCGCAGGAGAAAGCGCGAGTCAAGCGTCGTGCCATCAGATCTCTACTATGATGCCCGCTTTATCTTGCAACGCGTATCGATTCGCATTATGGAGGATTTGCATCAGGCTGTGTTTGTCTCAAGCCACCAGCGGGTCGTGATACTTGAGCGCAGCGTTAGATGCTTCAAGGCTGGTAAAGGGGTTTATATCATTGGCCGCTTGTTTTGCTCCGCCATAGCAGTGCGGGCAAGGCACCCCATGAAGTGTTTGCTATTCGTATCGGCTCGCAGCCTATCTATTGGTTCACGCCGTCGAGCATAGGATGTGCTTTCCAAACAAGCAACGCGCGGGAGACTTCAAGGCCAATCGCGGTTGAGCCTCATTTGCCGCTTTTTCTGCCCAGCAGCAGTAAGGGTGGGTGTCATGGCGCCTCATCGGAGCCACACGAAATGCCCGCCGCATCTTGCTTGGAGGCCTGCGCCAGCCAGCAGGCACATTGCTTCATGAGATGCAGTTCGAATCTTAACCCCTATCTCCACCCCGAGAGGCCTCGGGTGCCGCTTCTTACAAGCTCTCACCGCCCACCAAGCCACCCCAACCCAACCCGAAGGCCCGATTAGCCCTCCATTTCCAGTGGGGGGGGCTCGGGGAACACTGAAACAACACATGAAGCCCGTAACCCCCCAACCCGATATTCGGGTCTTCGGGTTGGGGCGGGGTGCTTTGCCACTCGCGGCTCCGAAGCCGGCCGAGTACCCGCCCGCATCGGCCCGATGTCCCTCGAGCTGCACTCGCCCCGTGCGTCAGCTGCGGCCTGTTCTCGCTGGGTGCAGGAACAGCCACTCGGAGGAGGAGGAGGATGAGGGGGAGGAGGAGGAGGAGGAGGAGGAGGAGGAGGAGGAGGAGGAGGAAGGAGGGTAGAGGGGGAGGAGGAGGAGGAGGAGGAGGAGGAGGAGGAGGAGGAGGAGGTAGAGGGGTGGAGGGAGGAGGCGGAGGAGGAGAGTAGGGGGAGAGGAGGAGGAGGAGGAGGAGGAGAGGAGGTGTGGAGGAGGGGTGGCGGAGGAGGGGGAGGGAGGGGGAGGAAGGAGGCTGAGGAGGAGGGGGAGGGGTGGAGATGAGAGGAGGAGGATGAGGATGCGGAGGAGGAAGGAGGGGGAGGAGGAGGAGGAGAAGGTTATGGGAGAACAGGGTGGATGGGGAGTGTGAGGAGGGTGGAGGGCGGTGAGGAGGAGGTAGGGTAAGGAGGAGGAGGAGGAGCAGGAGGAGTAGGGAGGAGGAGGGAGGAGAGGGCCGGGACGAGGAGGAGAGATGAAGGGGGAATGATGAGGGAAGGTAGGGAGGAGGGCGGAGGAGGATGCGCAAAACTGCGCCTCTGTGTGGAGCGCGAGCGTAGCCGCCGCCCCTGCCCGGCGGCTCCGCCGCCCAGCCCCGGCCCCGGAAGCGGCGCGATGCAGCCGCGGCGCCCAGAGGCTTTCGGGAGGCCCAGAGAGGATCACAACGTACAAGGAGGGGGCGGCCGTCGTCTCGAGTGCCCCTAGGGGAACAACAACAACTCGGAGGTCCGCGCGGATTTCTCGGATCCGCGCTGGACCCCCCTCCCTGGCGCGCCGAGCGCGCCAGGGGCGGCGCCGGAGGCGCCGCCAGAGGGCCCCAGCGCGGATCCGAGAAATCCGCGCGGACCTCCGAGTTTTATGTTTATGACACTTGTTGTTCCCTTAGCCCCCCCGCTGGTCCTCCCGATCCTTCTCCCCTCTTCCTCCTCCGTCCTCCCTCCTCCTCGTGAGCACCTTCCCTCCGCTCCTGCGGGCCTGAGCACAGTCAACCATGACAGAAAGGGTGGGGCAACTTTCCAAGGCTACCCTTGCATCTTTGCCCCTTCGATCTGATATGCGGCATCCTTCGGCATTCTTCTGCTGCGCTCCGCACGGAAAACGTCAGCATGGCGTTTCAAGGCCCTTGCATCCTTACCGCGCATCCTTCCCATGCTGGTCGAGTGTGGCGGCTGTGCGCAGGCGCTTCGAGTTGGGGCTGATGGCAACTCCGACCCTGCTGATGCGGGGCGACTTTGCCGGCGTGGACAAGGCCGTGGGAGGAGCAGCAAGCAGGATGCCGATGGGGAGGGAGGCTAGCAGCCATCTACATGGTCTTGTTTCGCCAATCGGCGCGGTCCCGCGCCCTCTCCCCCCAGGCCAGACTCTGCCTGCTCTGGGCGGCTGCTTTGGCGACTAGTCGGGACCCCCCTCCTCCAGTCTGCGCGCGCGACTCGCAGAGGCAGATCGACTCAGCACGGGCCCATGCCCAACTCCCCCACCCAACTCCCCCACCCTCTGGCCGCACGCCGAAACCCACGGCACACCAAGACCTGACCCAAACGGCTTTCGGACGTCCTCGTCTGTTCCAGGAGCTTTCCCTTCCGCTCCACCGGATGCGGCAGCTGCGCCTCGCCGTGCGCGTTCCGGGGGTTTGCCCAGGTCGCCTCGCCGATCGGGCGCCGGAGGCGCGAGAGCCGTGGCCCGAAGACCTGGCGGCCCGGGAGGAGTTGCGGAAGGATGAGCAGGGAGGGGTGAGGGTATAGGAGGGGAGGCGGGGGGAGGGGGAGTGCGGGCGGAGGAGCAGGAAGATGGGGAGAAGGAGGAGGAGAGGAGCCATTCGCCAGGAGCAGTTGCAGGAGGAGGTGGGGAGAAGGAGAGGGGGGTGGGTGAGCGGAGGAGGCGCAGCGAGGGCACGGGGCGCATCGGCGGGAGCAGCAGAAGATGCAGCTGCAGCGGCAGGGACCCTGGCAGCGGGGTCACGAGGAGGCGAGGGGGAAAACGAGGCCGGCCACGGCTGGGGGAGCCGTGCTTTTCGCTTTTGGCCCCCCGAGGGGCCCGCTCGCGCGGCTTGGCATCGCTCGGACGTGTGCATTTCTCCTTCGGCGAGGACCATCGAGGAGCATCCTGGATCATTTAATTGGCGAAAAAAAAGGACGCGCGAAACCGACAAAAAACACAGGGAATGGACGTCCGAGCGATGCCAAGGCGGCGGGAGGCGAGGCCGTGCCCAAGGGCTGTCAGGTCCGGAAGCCTCGGGTGCGGCCCCAGGAATACGTGGTGGCTCTGCGCGGATGCCCCGCGCGGAGCATGGAGGCGGAGGAGGGGGAGGAGGAGGAGGAGGAGGAGGAGGAGGAGGAGGAGGAGGAAGAGGAGGAGGAGGAGGAGGCGGAGGAGGTGCTCCTCTTACCCCTGGTGCTCCTCTTGCACGCGATGGCGCCTCGGCGTCCAGACCGCGCAGGGTTTTTGTATGGATCTGCTCGTTGTCCGTAGTACAGCTCACCAGAGGCAAAAGTATCACTACCATTATGTCGGGCGTGTCCCCCTACAGGGGGCTTTTCGACGAAAACAAAAAATACACCAAACATAAACCATCAAGGCAAACAAATACTAAAAAAAGAGTCCCCAGACTATTAGTGGACATTTCTTTTATTAGTTTTGGTGTATATTTCCCAACCCTCCTGCGTTGGGTACTCGTTTTGAATAGAGCACTGCGGTCTCCACCTTCCTTCCTTCCCGCCTCCTCCTCCTCTCTTCCCTCTTCCTCTCCTCTCTTGCTTCCCTTCTCCGCCTCTCTTCGCTCCTTTTCTCTTGCATCCCTTCTCCTCTCTTCGCTCCTCCTCTCTTGCTTCCCTTCTCCTCCTCTCTTCGCTCCTCCTCTTCTCTCTTGCCTTTTACGTCATCCCTTTGGGGCTGCGATCTGTGAAACTGTCGCCACTTTCGAGGGCTGCTGGTGGGTCCAGCGGAGTGAGGCACCACGCAGATTCAGATTAGACCTCGCCATCCCTGGGGGGCTGCGATCTGCGAAACTGTCACCACTTTCGAGGGCTGCTGGTGGGTCCAGCGGAGTGAGGCACCACGCAGATTCAGATTAGACCTCGCATCCCTGGGGGGCTGCGATCTGCGAAACTGTCGTCACTTTCGAGGGCTGCTGGTGGGTCCAGCGGAGTGAGGCACCACGCAGATTCAGATTAGACCTCGACTTTCGAGGGCTGCTGGTTGGTCCAGCGGAGTGAGGCACCACGCAGATTCAGATTAGACCTCGCCATCCCTGGGGGTCTGCGATCTGCGAAATTGTCGTCACTTTCGAGGGCTGCTGGTGGGTCCAGCGGAGTGAGGCACCACGCAGATTCAGATTAGACCTCGCCGTCCCTGGGGGCTGCAATCTGCGAAACTGTCGTCCACTTTCGAGGGCTGCTGGTGGGTCCAGCGGAGTGAGGCACCACGCAGATTCAGATTAGAACCTCGCCATCCCTGGGGGGCTGCGATCTGCGACACTGACGCCACATTCGAGGGCTGCTGGTGGGTCCAGCGGAGTGAGGCACCACGCAGATTCCGATTAGACCTCGCCATCCTTGGGGGGCTGCGATCTGCGAAACTGTCGCCACATTCGAGGGCTGAGGGTTGGTCCAGCGGAGTGAGGCACCACGCAGATTCAGATTAGACCTCGCTATCCCTGGGGGGCTGCGATCTGCGACACTGACGCCACATTCGAGGGCTGCTGGTTGCGAAACTGTCGCCACATTCGAGGGCTGCTGGTGGGTCCAGCGGGGTGAGGCACCACGCAGATTCAGATTAGACCTCGCCATCCCTGGGGGGCTGCGATCTGCGAAACTGTCGCCACATTCGAGGGCTGCTGGTGGGTCCAGCGGAGTGAGGCACCACGCAGATTCAGATTAGACCTCGCCATCCCTGGGGGTCTGCGATCTACGAAACAGTCACCACTTTCGAGGGCTGCTGGTGGGTCCAGCGGAGTGAGACACCACGCAGATTCAGATTAGACCTCGCCATCCCTGGGGGGGGGCTGCGATCTGTGAAAGTGTCACCGCTTTCGAAGGCTGCTGGTCAGTCCCGCGGAGTGAGGCACCACCCAGATTCAGATTAGACCTCGCCGTCCCTGGGGGGCTGCCATTCTGGGAAACTGTCACCACTGACGCGGGTCGTTTCAGAGGTGAGGTTGTCCCTCGGGCTCTCTTGTCACTCAGTTCTTTTGACCACGAGCATGATGAATGATCACTGTGGCGATTTGGCTTGGAAGTGAGGTTGCCCATCATGCCCGCTAATCATTCCCGATTCTTACACCATCGCCAGGTTGTGAAAATAATTTCTTGGGTCGCCATTTTGAAACGCGCGAGTATCGCAAAGCGGAAGACGAGGAAGGGGAAAACGATGGGGGGCTGCGATCTGCGAAACTGTCGCCACTTTCGAAGGCTGCTGGGGTGGCCAGCGGAGTGACGCCCCACGGGGACTTAGATTAGACCTCGCCATCCCTGGGGGGCTGCGATCTGTGAAACTGTCGCCACTTTCGAGGCTGCTGGGGGGCCCAGCGGAGTGACGCCCTACGGGGATTCAGATTCGACCTCGCCATCCCTGGGGGGCTGCGATCTGTGAAACTGTCGCCACTTTCGAGGCTGCTGGGGGGCCCAGCGGAGTGACGCCCTACGGGGATTCAGATTAGACCTCGCCATCCCTGGGGGGCTGCGATCTGTGAAACTGTCGCCACTTTCGAGGGATGCTGGGGGCCCCAGCGGAGTGACGCCCTACGGGGACTCAGATTAGACCTCGCCATCCCTGGGGGGCTGCGATCTGCGAAATTGTCGCCACTTTCGAGGGCTGCTGGGGGGCCTCGCGGAGTGACGCCCTACGGGGATTCAGACTAGACCTCGCCATTCCTGGGGGGCTGCGATCTGTGAATCTGTCGCCACTTTCGACGGCTGCTGGGGGGCCCAGCGGAGTGACGCCCTACGGGGATTCAGATTAGACCTCGCCATCCTTGGGGGGCTGCGATCTGTGAAATTGTCGCCACTTTCGAAGGCTGCGTGGGCGGCCCAGCGGAGTGACGCCGTACGGGGATACAGATCAGACCTCGCCATCCCTGGATGGGGGGCTGCGATCTGTGAAACTGTCGCCACTTTCGAAGGCTGCCGGGGGGCCAGCGGAGTGACGTCCTACGGGGACTCAGATTAGACCTCGCCATCCCTGCGGGGCTACGATCTGTGAAACTGTCGCCACTTTCGAGGGCTGCTGTGGGGCCCATGAAACTGTCGCCACTTTCGAGACCTGCTGCGGGGTCCAGCATAGTGATGTCCTACGCGGACGCAGATTGGACCCGTCATTCTATTTCGATTATCCCGCATCTGCGATCGCTTGTATGTGTGCGAGGAACTAGACATGGAGTGGTCTGGCATTGACTGACGTCAAATCGTGGTGTGCCAGTGTCTCCTGGGGTGTTGCCTGATGTGGATGCAGCTCGTCGGCGCTGCGACTCGAGCTGGCGGTCGTCCTTCGGACCCGCAGAAACATCTGCAGAGCTCGATGAGCTAGGAGAACTACAGGAAAGAAGTGCAGGAAACGGAGGCCGGTCATGCACTCGCCGATACCTCGTTGCTCTGTCATCGTCTTTGCTGTTGCATGATCCTTATCTGGCCTGCCGGCGCCGCGGCTCGAGCTGGCGGTCGCCCTTCGGGCCCGCGGGAACATCTTCTGAGACAAGTGGACGCCGCCGCCTTACTTGCAGGCAGCGCATTGCATTCGCGGACAGCAGCATGGCAGACCGCAGTCGGATCCTCAGTCGCGCGGTGTTGCCAAGCCTGGTGGAGACGCGCGTGATCGACCTGAAGTCCCAATCGCGCGTGCACTGTACCTGCGTGGCGTTCAGGCACGCGCGTGATGCTGCTCGCTCCGCGTTCAGCCAGTGCGTCGCCAGTGCAACTTTGGACGATGGACAACCGATTGATGATACGCGACCCCGGCCTTGAGTTTCTTTCCCGCGGGCCGCCCGCAGACCTGGCGGCGCGCCTGCGAGCGTTCAGCTCCCGCGCTGAAATGTGCGGGAAGGAGGCGGAGAAGCTAGCGGGCGAGCTACGCCTCGCTCGTTCCTTGCACTCTAAACAAGTTTTATCATGTGGAACTCTGCGACGACATGGCGCAGGCAGTGCTGCGGGTTTAGCTCGCACTTGAAAAACGCGGCAGTCTTCTGGCCCCTCCCGCCACTTTCATCGTCGTCCTATTCCCCGCCTCACCTTCTCCATGCATGCTGCTGCTTCCGCGATG